TTTCTCAAGTAAATATGAACGAACAGAATAGCAGACAATGCAATGTCTACGTACGTACTAGCTAAACTGATGTCACCAAGTGTTTATGCTGACAAGTGGAACTGTTGTATAAGGTTGAAGACCGTATGAGTTCTTTTGAACGTTTGAAACATCGATCGTAAATATGCGTGATATTTATACTTACGTGAAGGAATCCAATTTACGACTATAAAACCAATCTGAATGCTCTACGCTCAACTCAACAATAGGACAGATGATAAACTGTGTTATATTCAACCGCGTCAAGTAATTCGTTAAGACGAACCACATACCGATGTAATTGGGAAATGGGCGTTCTGACCTCGACGCTATAAAAAGAGATATATACAATGGAAGAAAACAAGGGTCATTCATACATTCTGAGCATAAGTTTCGTTGCTGATTAGGAACGCATATCGGTAATTTAAGAGTATGCAGTCAAACGTGCTCCACTGTTCTTTTGCAAGGTCTTTGTTAATTGTGTGTTGGTCGGCTTTCTTAGAGTAGTCAGCACCATTTTCTACGAGCGCCGCGCGCCACATCGGCTTTCAACTTTGCGGTGAGGTTTTCTGTATATACTGTTTTGCGCTCTGTTTTGAGTTTCATTAATCATGAAAATTAAATACACAAAGCAAAAGCACTGAAAAACATTTGTACACAAGAAAAAATATACTTCGGTTAACTTTTAGAATCGTGGGTTAGCGTTAACTGGCTCCCGAACAACCCGGCACTGATTACAACAAGTTAACCTGACATGAGTCCGCGATCCAGTAGAAAACCAGCACTTGGTCGGTGATCAATTAAAGGAAAAAAAATACATGACTTTGAGGAGCTCTAAACTTGAGCCCGAGATATGGTCACGTGACTCACGTCGTCGCCTTTGCCGTCGTCCGTACGCGGCCACTAGCAATACCGGTAGCCATGATAACCATGAGAAAGTCAATTGACCAATTTCGATATATTAAAATTCAGCCAAACACAATAGTCCTCAGCACGAAGTTCTGGGGAATAAACCACACAAACTCTTTAGTTATTCCCCAGAGCCTCGTACTGAGGTCTATTGTTTAAGGCTGAATTTTAATATATCGAAATTGGTCTATTGATGGGTTTCCTTTTCCCTCCTATATGAGTATGGGGCTCCGCTTGGCCAGGGCTCCGCTATTACCTCGACAGGATGGCGCACTGAAGGAACATTTTGTGTCACGTTTAAACTTTCCACGGCAACTTTTCAGATGCGTCTAACTTTTTCTCGGGTTTCACTTTCGATTGCAATGATTCGTAGAAACTCTTATGTTCAAAAACAGTTCTGTATGAAGCAACGTGCCCTGGAGCAAATATTTACTAACGCAATCCTACAAATTTGTTTTTCAAACATTAAAAATCCCATAGAATCTAAGGATAAACGTATGTAGTGTCAAAATGCTGAAACGATTCACGTGACACCACTCGCCACTTTAAAGAGGAAAGAAACCTGGTGCAAGTGTCATCTCGCAGTGGCGTGTGGGGCCGACTGCGAGATGAGACTCGCCCCCGATTTCTTCTCGTTTCTGAAGCTAGTGGCGAATGTTCTTGGTAAGGGACAATCCCACTCTTCAAAAACACGTACCCAAATTCCAGAGCAATATAACAACTACAGAACCAATAATGAAAAAAATTGTTTTATCTGCCTTTGTTTTTTGCCGGGTGTATCGAAACTAACGTTTACTCGGCCAATAGCTTTTATTACAGTTGAACCTGCGGTTCAACATTCTTTTGTCTAAAAGGGCATACAAACGCGGCGAACGGGTCAACACAAAGCAGAATTGACCCTTTCGCCTCGTTTGCGTGTCAAATTCCTGAAAACTGTAATAACAGCTATCGACTTCATTTTCGTTTTCGCTTGTTTGTTTTTCTTTGTGTTTTCTTTTCAAGAAATAGCTAATGACATTCACGAAATAAATTTACTGGGTCTGAAGATTCTTCATGTAGATCTAACAGAAGCTTTTAATGCGTCCTTTTTTTCTGCCATTGTTTCATTAATCCTCTGTAATTCTCGGCAAATATCGTGACCTCAACGTTAATCATTACTCGATGATCGTCGCGATTTGACAGCAGCATCGTTTCTTCTCCGGTACCAACCGTAAAATCTTCGGAGAACAGGTCTCTACTTTGCGATCTTGTTTCGCCGTGTTTTCCGAAGTCTCTTCTTAGCCGGAGCTTGAGCCTCCGTCTTGAGGTAGCCTTTGTCCATGTATTCTTGAGTGTCAGGAAAGCTTAGGTTCCAAAATCCTGGAGGTGTGGAAGGTGGAGGGGAGAACTTCGCTCGGTGACGTGAACAGTGCTTCAAGCGCTTTTTAAGCTCGTCCTCGGGAAGATCAAGACCCTGGTAGTACTAAAAAGAAAAACAAATGCGTGAATTTCTTTTAATAGTTAAATGAATATTGCTAACAATTGATGAGAAAAAAAAACAAAACAAAAAAACAAAACAAAAAACAGTTCACAATACCTCTTGACAGTCGCGGCATTTATAGCCATTCAGTTTGGCTCTTTCATCTTTTTTCCGAACAACTTCCACGTATTTGTAGTTCGGTTCACAGGCGCAACTCCTAATGAAGTATAAAGTGTAATTAATTGTAGACGCGGTGGGAATGTAGTTAAAAATTTAGACAAAAGAAAGGATACCGCAGAAATGTAGACAATACGCACTTCAATTCTATCGGCGGGCTCTTGTCCACGTTTGTAGCTATTTCTTCTGGTTGCGTCTTGTTATCTTCCTATGAGGAAGAAAGAAAGACAAAAAATCATTTGTCAAAGAACAAGAATTGAATAAAAACAAGGCACGAAGTGGCGCGCGCAACACGGAAGTGCACGGCACGGCACAGCAAGGCAGACACGACACGGATTTCCCCGTCACTGCAATAGTACATTATGTATTGGATCAAGAGAATTATCAAGGTAAGAGAGTGAATTCCCTCTATAGGCCTTATACATACGGTAATCCCACGGTAATGCTGCGCGTTGCGTGGATGTTTTCGTGGAGGATTTGTTTATGTGTTGCTTAATTTCAAAGCGAAGAAGAACCTCCAATGCTGTGGGGATGCCTTCTTTTATATAAATATCAAAGAAGCAAAGGAGCTTCTACCCCAGCCATGGTTTAAAACATTTCCAAACAGTAATAGGGGTTTAAATAAGACACTGATGTCTCCTGGACAAACAACAACTAAATGAATGGCAGATAAATGAGTAGACAAGCGAGTGCAAAGCAAACGAACGCCCAAACACAACGCAACTGAACAAACGGTTTGTCGAAAGTGCAGACAGACATCCGCCACCCAAACAACAAAAAGGAGTTTAAGCAGCAACGCCCATGACAACGTCGATTAAACGATTTCATATGCATCCCACGAATCTCGCAAGAATTTACATTCATCCAGTTTTTCTATAACTTTCAGAGATATTTTAAACAGAATATGTACGACAGCGTGAAAATTCGAAAAAGAAATTTTAAACATTGGTCGTCGTATTATACGAAGAAAGTGTTAATTCCATGTTGTTGTTTTGTAACGAATGGCAAACAAATGAGCAAAGAATTATAACACACGCGCGCACAGTCATTGCACTCTTTACCTTTGCCCTTGTGCTTTGCCTATTTTTAAACTCCGTGAAACCAAACGGTAAAAGAATGAACAGCCAAACGAACACAAAACAAACGAAAGCCCAGCCGAACAAAAGCACGGCTGGCGGTGCAGAAAACATCTTAGCTATGGAACGTCTTCCGAACACCAAAACGTATGTAAAATGACTTTTCACCACATTTCCCGCCACTTTGTCTCAGTTAATCGCTAGAAAGTCGCTTGGGCTGTCCACGCATTTCGCGAGTAACAACATCCTCGGAAGAACTGGGTACCGTGTCTAAAAATAACTTAAGAGGGATTACCTTGGTTACAAGGCCTACATGGGGGAATCACTCTCTTACCTTGATAATCTCTTGACTGGATTGAATACCTCTTACATGTATCAATCGACTTCCAGGTAGATGTATTGTAAATGAGGAGGGAAAGAAGGACCGAGAAAGAGAACTAAAGAAGTCAATTATATCCCTCTCTTTGGGGGAAAAAAGCAAACAATCCAATTTGCATGTAATTCAATGTAAAATGACAGGAGCTCTAGAGACACAGTTTACACACACACTTTATTTCAATTACATTTAGAAATTAATGCAAGTTTGAAACAGATCCCAGCGGTAGTAGCATTAGGCTAATCTAGGCGGATCAGTTAGAGCTATCTATAAATCTGTTAGTTACCTCATCACTCTTGTTCGAAACATTTTCCTTATCACTTCCTTCCAGTGAGCCGTCTTGAAGTTTTTGATTTTCTTCTTGCAAATCTGCAAATACCAGAAAACAAATTTAACGCGTAAGAGTGCTACAAGAACACACTGAAAGAGATCCACATCCCTTAAAGAAACTGGAAAGCGTTAGTAGAATTGTAGTAGTATACTAATGCAAATGCTGCAATCTGATTGGCTGAGTTACTCGTATACTATCAACCATTGGAGTGCAATCTTCATCGAACATTAAAGAAACTAGAAAACGTTTTCTAGTTTCTCTAAAGTTCGATGTAAATCGATTCGGCCTTCGGCCTCATCAACTATGACCTAATAGAAATCTCGAGCACATAATCTCATAGGCCACGTTGGATATATCAATATTCTAACATGGCTCCCAAGCATTCAGGTCAAAATTGCAAATTTTCTAAGGTTCTTATGTCCCTCAATTCCCAAGACACTTGGATACAAAGAAAACAATATCAAATATAGACGTTTATCCCGAAAGCCTCGGAGCCATGCTAAAATACTGATATACCGACTGTGGCCTATTGATAAATAGACACAAAGGGCGTCAGATTTTTTTTCCAAGGATTATTCAAGGACAGCTGAGGGACGTGCGCGGTTTGCTTACTCAGCAAAATATTTACCTGGTGACCGGTGATCGTCCATATTATTGTCAAACAAGTCCATACCACTTGTGTAAGGCCCTGTCATGTCCCCACTGCAGCTGAGGAGGGTGCTACAAGACTTNAATTGTTTCTAAGCTCAGCATTATTATGCAAGTCTGAAAGACATCCATAAAAACGACTCGACTGGTATAATTATACACTAGTCGGTGCGTTTCCACATGACAGGAAAACATTATAAAGTTCAACGTCAGGTTATTACCTCAGAGAAAAAATTGTATTAGAAAGTAAATCAATACTAACCCTCAAACCTTTACTTTTTGTTGCCCATATGGTGTCTTCACGTTCATCTGAACTTTCTCGTTTTCTCTTAGCGGCATTGGTATCATTTTCACTCGAAGTTACTTTTGTTTTTACATATTTTGCATCCAGAGTTGTTTGTTTTGTTGCTTTGAGGTTGTGACCTTTTTCGGCTGGTTGATGAGATCGTTCTTCATTTTCTCTACTTATGAAAACTGTATTATCATTGTTTTTGATCATTCTGGACTGGGAATCAGACCTGGGTTCTTGTTCTTCGTCACTCTTCACGCCATGGGGTAACAGCGACACAGAACAGTCTGCCGTCAGGTTCAAGTCTTGCTGCAGTGATCGGGTGCGGCTTGGAATGGTCGGCGACTGTGGTTGAGTGTATGACAAATCAACAGGAAACTGGGAATCAGATTTGGGTAAATCCTTATTACTGGTTACAGAAGCAAAAGTGCTGTCATTAAGGGATTTTACTGGAAATCCAGGAAACTGAGATTCGGATTTGGTTAGGTCCTTGGTATCGGTTACAGCATCCACAGTGTTTTTACAAGGCGAATTTCCAGAGATCTTGTCTAGAATGCCCATGCTTGCATCATTGTCATCATCATCATAGTTAAACAAGAGTGAGTTTGCAGCTGCTAAGGGAGTACTTGCTGCTGAAGGGGCTCCCAATGAGCAATGGAAGCCATCAGCAACCTCTTCTGAATGGACGTCCTCAGTTTCTTGCAGCAGAATCTCTGGATGGACAGAAATTCCATCTACAGATACCTTTCTGTCTTGGACCTGAGAAGAATTCTTGTAAAGCTTTGTACTTTCATTGGCATCAGGGAAAAGGTTAGCAACACCATCCACCATTAACATTTTATCCTCTTCAATCACTCGGCTGACACTCATATTATCTTTATGATAAACTCGTGATTTTGTTTCCTCTTGTGCTCCAGATGTCGACATTGACACCTTGTTGTATCGAACTTTCTTTTTACACTTCAGGGTTGACAGGTTTCTGTGCTTCTTGCTCAGCTCATAGTCTTTCAAAATAGAACAGTCATCAGGCTCAGCATCATTCCTGGGAAAAAAAGAAGAATCCACGAAAATACCACAATTTCCAAAAGAAAAGACCTTTGTGTTTAGAGTTCTTTCGCTATTGCTATTTTGAAGGATCATAACTTTTGGGGGCCACTTCATTCAGATGGCATGTTTTGCTCATCCACCATAATAAAGTAGGAATTATTTTCTGCATGAAGATAAACAGGATAACTATTATCAAAAATAACGTATATTAGATCAAAACAAAAATGATACCTTTGGAATGAGGGTNCCACCATAATAAAGTAGGAATTATTTTCTGCATGAAGATAAACAGGATAACTATTATCAAAAATAACGTACATTAGATCAAAACAAAACATATGATACCTTTGGAATGAGGGTCACACAGAAATCATAACGAGTGAAGTTATTTTTGAGGTTGCTATATTGTTTAGAAAGTTAACAAAATTTCATTCTGCTGGGATAGTTAGGAGTTAAGAGAAAAGCTGACCATTTTCAAGTCAAGAGATATTTCCTTCCAAGCTGTCATGCAATAACATGCAGGCATTTCCTTGAAGAATGATGCATGTCTACAAGTACCAGATGTTAATTGGTAGTATGATAGGTGAAACAAAATATGGTCTATAGTGGGTGGGCTCTGTTGCTGAGAGACTGCCCATTTACAATACACCATACAAAAGTATCTATATGTTGACCTTGCTTAGAGACCTGGCAAGTTAAACAAAGTCTGTTGGTCAATCACTAGCACAATTTTAGGGAAAAAAGGAGATTCTCATCTCAGTGGGCAAAAGAGGGTGGTAACTTACTTTTGAGAAGAACTGTAAATTGCATCGTTCCTAAAATAAATATTCCTATCCCTCCATCAAAGAAGGTATTTGGATTCACTAATGCAC